AGCGCATCGTAAACAGTTGTGACGTCATTGGCAAGCTTAAAAAGGTAATGGATTGAGTGAAGTTTATACATACATATATGTAATGCGTATACTTGCATCGCGTAAACACAGTTAGAAATTGTTTTGGTAATCACTACATACTTTAATTGAAATGTTCCCGAAATGTCCATCTCTTAAACTCGAGAGAGGTTTAAGTGTTAGTGATCACTAAGGACTTATATATGGTCCATTAAAAGTGACAGCGATTGTGAAAGATATCGAACGGAATAATAGCGACTTCGAGCGTTACTAGCGCGCACCGCATCAACAATGTAGGTACTTGTATTATGCCTGTATTCTTCTTAAATATATATTATATCATAAATAAAATAAAAATTGTTAGAAATCGTCTGTTATGTAGACTCATCATAGATCAACACAACAACACACACAATAGCAACAATATCTATTTAGTCAAATATTTAGCAAAATAAATATAATATATATTATGTTTGCCAATAATTATACATAGTCCAACCATGTATTCTTGTAAAAGAAGTAGTTAGTGTCCAATATAGTTTATTCTGATCTATTCCGTATATTTAACAGTAACGAAAAAATGTATGCTTTGCCACCGGATACACACCACATCACATAAAGTCGGAGCAGGTTGCTAATATTATATAAAAAGGTAATTTGTACATTGTAACATTGTACCTGTATAAACGGCAATGTATTCGTAGAATTTAAACTAAGGAGCAAAGAAGGCGACGGTGGTTGGTGGTTGCTCTCAATTCACATGTTTATAATAGGACTCAATAATGGATATTCAATGCTTTTTTTACTTCTACAATCCCATCATGAAACACAATACAATATAAAATTCATAGAGGATATAAGATGGCATATTATGTTTCATATTTATTTTACTAGCGTCCGTTATACTATGAAGCTTTCATCTAGTATATATATATATATATATATATATATGCGTAAAAAAAATATATTTTTTTTAATATGTGCTGTAGTTAAAAAACATGTAAAAACGACTATATTGCCGGCAACGCGTTTGTGATGCCTGAGTTACAGACGTTCATGGGCGGCGATGGTCACTTTCCATCAGGTGACCTGTCTGTTTATCTGCCCCCTCTAGCATAAAAAAAACATAAGCTAAAAAGTACCAATATATATTTTGAATAGTCATAGTACGAAAGTCTCCACAATGACATTTCAAGCTATTTTGGGCAATGTAGTAAACAAAGAATTCAAAACAGTTGTAATTTTCACCACCACCTTCTTTCGATCTTTAGTAACAAATTAGTCCTCACAGTCAAACAACCATGACATTAAGATACGTCTGAAATATAATAACCAAAAATAACACCACGCGGTGAATATGTTGACGAACACTGTAAATAACAATCATAGGAACATTTCATTTTAACTACGATTATAAATCTTTGGCTTTGATGCATACGTTAGTAATTTATTTTGCATACTTTAATGAAACTTCTTTTAGAGGAACGGTTTTTTTTAAACTAACATCTGCACTTGGTTTTGCTCATTCTACAGTGCGTATACTGGATGCAAGATAAAGGTTAGACAGTTTGTTAAAATATGAGTACATAAATATAAGTACATGATAATTATTAAATGATCCTAATCAACATTTGAGAATCAATTAGATCTCACCAAATTTACCAGGGATGAACCAACCGGATATAGGTGTGTGTTTTAGAATGAGGATGGATGCATGTGTGTGTGTGTGTGTGTGTATGTGTGTGTGTGTGTGTTTGTCAGTAGGCAAATGAGCAATTAAATTCGGGTTTTTTATGTTTTGTTTTGACGGGGTTATATTTTTTTATTGGCTTTTTTAAAGAAACATCGTTAGTTAATGACAATGTATCTCTCTCTCTTTTACTGTTACTTAAGCTTTTGATTTACCCAAAAACGGGACTAAAATTGCGGTATGTTTGATTTCTTCATTGCTTATTATCTAAACAACAAGTTTGTACAAAGCTTAGCTTGTTCGTCTGCTAGACTATTTCTCGGCTTTTACTAATTTATTGAATGTGTCACTGATTTACCCCCAGATAGACTTGTGTGGTGAATTAGGCCTTGTGGTTGTGGCACATATTATCTAATTAGGTCATCATGTTTAAATGTTTGTATGTAATTTAAGGACTCGTAATAAATAAAAGTGATATTCCATCTTTTATCAAATTAAGTACTCTTCATTTCTTTACAGGATTATGGTAAAAGGTTTAGGTACTTTTTCGAAAACATTCTTAACACAAAAATCGTGGCTTAAAGATTGAGATGGAAAAGATTAAGATAAGCCACGTTTTGTGAATATATTCTTAACTTGTATACTGAGGATAGTGAAAAAAATATACTAGAAAATGTTTAGTTTTGATATTCCGTGTTGATGAACTCTGATAAAAATTTAAATTAAGGTATCTATGTAATTCAAACTTATTTTTAATTGCTTAAACAAGTTCCTTAAAAGTTAATTCGAATTCAAAAATATGTTAAAAATAATGTTAAATGAAGTGTTAATGACACGAGTGCGATAGTGTTTAGGCAAACCTTTGGGAGTGGCGTGGCGTGGGTAAGACCCGTTATGGAGGCTTGGCTCGAGAGACATCACGGGACCATCTTATACCGGCTGACGCAGGTGATCACTGGGAAAGCATGCTTCGGGGATCATCTGTGTCATGATGTTATCAAGGAGCCAACGCCTGAGTGCCACCACTGCCGTGGCAGCACCGTGGACACGGTGCTCCACACGCTGGCAGAATGCTTTTAGGACTTATAAAAGGGACCGTGTTGAAGTCAAATGTATAAGACTGCTCGAAATTAGTGTAACCAAATGCCGACATCTAGAACTTCCTTGAAACTCCCGGTATCGGCAAATCACGAGATATGGACATCTCACAAGCCACACCTCTTGATTCCCTTAATTCACATTTCACCACCTCTTTCACCTTGGACAGTCTACCTGAACTTAGTATCCTTAATTATCCTTAGTCCTTTTATTTAATAGGCACGTCGATCATATTACAAATCAAGCGTTGAAAGCACAGGGTTTTGTAGCAAAAATGTCTACATGTTTCCAATCTCTAAAAACTAAAAAAATTATACTGCGCCTATGTACGTAGTCTTCATAAATACGCGTCACAGGTATGGAATCCACAATACCAAGTTTATAAATCGCGCATAGAGGGTACTCAGCGAAAGTTGTAAGCGTTATCATTTCTTGCCTTTGGAACAGAGATGAACTGTTAGTACTGTAGTACTGTTAGATAAACATCGCTAATGATACCATTGATTGTCCAGAATTGCTGAGCAACATCACACTTGGAACAAATCAATTAGTTTTTAGACATCGTCCCATATTGTACGTTCCCTTTGCTGTAGCTAACTATAGGCGGAACTCGTATATTTTACCTGCGGTTGAGAGCTGTATTGACATAGCTCTAATTGGCATCAAAATTGGACTTAGATTTGTTTTGTACAAATTCAACCACAGTCAAAAGACTTTTCAGTAAATATTTCTTTGGCAGCGACCGGTAAATATACCTACTGAATTACCTTGTTTTTTTTTTGTTGCCTATAATTCAGTTTTTGGTTTTTATTTTTTGCTGACAGCAAGTTCAGATCAACTATAAATATTGTGTATAACTGTGGTTTATTATTAGAGGGTTATTTATATGTGGTAGATTTTTATTAGCAATTTAAGCGTTACGCAGTTGTGTATGTTAATATTAGTGTGTAAGCTTTCCTAAGATAAATAAATAAAATAAAATAAAAATATGTCAATAGTCTACCGCGCTCTAGACTAAGAGCTTTTCACTTCGGTAATAACTTACTCAGTCTTTTTGGTCTGGATTTCGACCAGGCCATAGCTCGGTTTCCGCTCTTCTTAAAGTGACTGGCGATGTCAAAGTGGAAGCTGGAAGATACTAAGGTTACTACCGTAGTACTAGTTGATTTTTCCAATGCCCTCAATACCGTCAGCCACGATCTCCTCCTTGCTGCCCTATCCCATTTCTCGGTCTCTCAAGAGGCACTAGACTGATTCTCTTGTTACCATTGAGATCGTCAGCAGTCAATCACTATGAAAGATTTTTCCTCCAGCTAGTGTGGTCTCCCTGCTGGCGCTCTCAAGGCGGTATTCTTTTACCTCTTCTATTTTCTATCTTTATTAACCTTATCACACAAAGACTTCAGTATTCCTTTCATCTCTTCGCTGATGATTTATAGTTATTCTACCAAACAGAGTTGTGAAATACATCATCCACGTTTTCAGTTGTAAATAGTGACCTGGTGATCATTAAACTATGGTCCGATATGTTTAGCGGCACAAACAAATGTCAGACTATTATCATCGGCAGTAACAGTGGCATGAGCCGGCTCTACCATGCTTCAATTCCATCACTTATCTACGATGGTATGATTATTCTATACTGTGCAAATGTAAAGGACTTCTGACCCTCTAACTGGCGAAAACAAGTTGCATCGGTGTGCAAGGATGTCACTATAGGCTCTATAGGCTCAAGAACTTTCTGCCATCGAAAACTAAGTAATTGCATTCGATTAATTTGCAATTTGCGCAAATATGATCATGTGTCTCAGTATCGCTCTCTTTTCAAGAGGCGTCCAATTCGCCTTCGTAGACAGACATATTCATTACTTTTCTGCATCGCCCTAAGTTCGAGTGGAAGAAAGTGACCACGGCATTAAATCTACCTTTGTCACATTTGTTTGTGCATGAAGAAATAAAATAAATAGATAAGCAAGAATTAGGCTATTTTTGTAAAGAAACTTTTCTTTTGATTAGGTATACTCACATTTTAATTAAATACTGACAAGATTTGGTTACTGAAATCAAAATTACAATTACTGATTTGTTCGCTTTTCGTACTGCCACATACATACATATTATACAGTCACATAGCCATTATCCAACTTTATTCATTCAATAATTTTTACGTTTTTTTTGTTACAGAATAACCAAAATGGAGACTGATAAGATGTCAACGGCGTCTTCGGTGGGGGCGGCGGAGCGGCGTCCTCTTATGCAAGCACTTGTGCTCGAGAGGCGGATTCTCTTTGGGTGTACAGTATTAATAGGTCTTTGCAATTTTATCTGGATAGCTGCAGTTTGTACACAAAAGTGGGTGTCTATAAACGGAGGCAATGGTAAGCATTTTAAATGATTAAATACATCTAACACATTAATATCACGTGTCAAGGTGTTCGTGGCCGCATTCCTCCGGACCGATTTTAATGATTTTTTTAATATTTGGTAGGTATGAGAATAGGTTGTAAAGTATTTTTCGCCCTCCTACCCCATCCCAATTTTTTTGAATGAACACTTACGTTCGATATCTTCGATAATTTACAAGTTCAGAACACGTTTGCCGGGGTAGATTGATTTATAACTTTATTGATGGTATAAAAATGAAATATTGCTAAATTACTTTTAGAGGTCTACTCTATATTTACTGTATCTACTATAATATATATTGTAAGGGATGCCGAGGGATATTTCAATTGGTTATCAACAACATAATATTAAGCAAGCGAGCTGAGCGTTAAATAAAAAAAAACAATGCAATAATGTAATGGATATAAAAAAAAATTGAATATAGAAACAGTTTTTATTTATCATTTTATTTATAAATAATTTCCTAGATTGGCAAAATACTTTATCATATTACAAAATAAATATATATTTAAATTAAAATTACTTAAAAAATGCAAAAATGAATAGTAGACGCAATAGAATGAATTTATTAAAGGAAGAATTCTAATTGATAGGTTTTTTTTTTTCAAATGATATTATTTCTTAGAACTAGAAAGAATAACAAGATACGAATGGAATGTATATATGCAACGCACTATTAGAACAAAAACTCATTATTGTGTAACTTATTTAAATAAATTGTCACATGTATGTTTATACGTATGTAAGCGAGTCAGTCTTTATACGTAGGTTTAACATAACTGAAAAACCATAAAAATATGAAGTAAACTGTACCATGCAGGGTTTATTATTAATTATGAACATAGCAATGAGTTCAACGTGCTTTGGTTTATTTCTGAACCAGCTAGCAAAGTTGAAGAACCATTAGCGTGTACTGTAGATTGCACGAAGATAGCTGTGGTACATGTACTGTGATTTTTACTACAAAACATATCATAGCAGTGAAGAGAGATGAATCTAATAATTCCTATATTAAAACATAATTTACACAAATATTTTATAGACCTTATGATTATAGATATGTATAATGTATTGTAGTGTAGTACTAAGATAATATATTGATGAATAATATACAGATTTGTCATCAAGCACAAATAATCACTTGATAAGCCCTCGATGGGTCACCCGTCTTGATCTCGATGGGTCAATCGCTTCAGACTTTAACCCGTCAAGTTACTGTCTGAAGCGATTTCCTCCATATATTTCTTATTCATTTACGGCTATTTTTTTCTGTTCTTCTGGTTTTGCATGACAACGCTGTTAATTTTTTAAAGTTCGTTTAATAACATTGTCTGTAACGAGATCTTTCAGTTGAGATTTTGTAGACTTAAATTAATTGAGTTGAACGTAAGCTAGGTGCGAACATTCAACTCAAACTTAATGCAGCGTAGAAGCAAGAGTGTTCGCTCTTAATATTATATTATTATAACTGAATTATGAACGTGTTTCTTTACCCTGTGCTGTATGTGTGTGTTTAATGAGGATATTACAATTTTGTTTTTGTCTTCCCTACACATCTCACACACAGCCACCTGTTCCCTAGCTAGACTAAACTATGATAATCACCCTGCTGATAAACCTAAATATAATTCTAAATACAGACATGTTATAGATAAATTACATCTATACACAGAATAAACGGAGACGACGACGACGTGTAACGGACTGCTATTCCAAAGGTCGCGGGTTCGATTCCCGCTCAAGTCAAACATTTGTGTTCTTGAACATTTAATGTTTGATTTGGTCTGGGTGTTTCTATGTATAATATGTATGTATTTACAAAAAAAAAGTATGTATGTATTTATATCAGTTGTCTAGTAGCCATAGTACAAGCTCTGCTTAGTTTGGGACTAGATGGCGTTGTGTGAATGTGGTACAATATAATAAAAATAAATAAAAAAAGATCATACTCATCATACAATTATTTGTCCTGCCTTCCTTCCTTTTTTCTGACTCAACAATCAGGATTACCAACAACCCAGCCAACAGGCCTATCAAATTGAAATGATGAGAATCTAACTCTATTAGATATTAGTGTATATGTTTAGGTCATAATTTATGTTCAAACGAATTAAGTATACATTCTGTAACATTCTAATTACAACGAATCGAAGATAATTTTTTATTCATTTATAAATTCAGCTTCGCATCGCGTTACTTTCACTCCCCGATTTTATTGCCTTTTTATGGCATAGGAAAGCAAACCAACAACTGGACAACAACTGCAAATCAAGAGTCACAAGTTCGAGCCCTTTGAGTTCAGTGTCAACAAGAGAGAAAGCGGCACTCAGTTCAGTCAAAAAACTTCAAGCACATCATTCACAACTACTTGTTTAAAATAAAGATATTCTATTTATTTATTTATTGAAACAAAGAACAGTTATATGTTAGATTATAACTAAATACAATTCATATACCAATTATAAACATTGTTCACAGATTAACAAAAATAATAGGTAGTACATCATATTACTTCGTAAATGTCGTACAAAGGATATTCAAATTTAAAATACCAAAAAAAAACAGCAATAGAACAATGCTAAATTTCAGAATGTAGATTAAGTAAAACCAATTAATTAAATTAAGGATTCAATGAACGCAAAAGTTCAACTGCCTGTTTTTAAGTAATTAACTAATTAAGTATAATTAATTATGATATGAGCGTACTCCTTTCTTAAAAGCTGGCAACGCGCTTGTGATTCCTGAGTTGCAGCCGTTCATGGGTGCCAATAATCGCTTTCCATCAGGAAAAATTGCAACAAATTTAAGGATACATTTACATATTTTAGCAATTACTACTGCTACATTGCAAAATCTGCATAAAATCTTGGCATCTCTGATCGTTATGTTTGATCTGTATTAATTACTGACTTACTATTTGGCAGTCAGCCAAACAATATTGGGAGTCATTAACACTTACGATTGTTTCCAGGTATTCACCTGCACACCGGTCGGTATTTCATGTGGAGCGAGACTGGGGTATGGGAGATGTGCCGATACGTCTTCCAGCCAAATACTACACTAACGGGGAAAAATTTCACTAATCCAGCAGTTCCTAAACCACAGAATATAACTGGATTAAAAGGACATTTTCACACAAGTAAGTAGTGAAAATAGGTTCATCATCATCATCATCAACAGCCTCCAGGCCTCTCCTTAGAAAGGAGGTTTTGGCCTACTATACTATAAGTTTGTATACGAAAATAGGTTACTTTACCCACTTGTTACCTAAATGTTAATAGGCCAGAACTGTAATCTAATTCAGCAGAACAACTAAATTGACCGAAAGTTGACAGTGACAACGTAATTAATAAAGATTATTTGTCAGCGTTATATTAAATCATATATTTTCTTCTGCCAAGTGAACATTTGTTAGATGTGATAGTGTTTGCAAAACATTCAGGATTTGAAGTAAACATTGGCTTTGGAAGAAATTTATCGTTGATCAGTAAACTGGAAAATTAGTAACTAAATGCAAATAATTAAAATTATAAAAACGATATATGAAATGGAAAATGCTTTTTAATATTTACAAAACATTTAATTTGCAAAAGTAAGTATAAACCTGAATGTGTAGTTTAACATTATAGTGTATTTCACTCTTTAAAAGAGCAAAGTAAGTTAAGTAGATGGCCACTATGGCGTACCCTTTATTAAAAGTTTGAAATGTCATCTGCCCAGTAATCGGCTAGATGGTTCTAAATCTACCGTTTTCTCAGAAACTGTTTGGAAACTTCTTGTAAATTTTGCCGCCACCATACAAGTTTATTCTATTAACAACACCATCTGTTTCATCTCAATCTGTATGTTCATTAGCCTTCGAGAGTTTGTTGCTGAAAGCTATAAACAATTTAATCTCTAATTAATACCTAAGGTGAACATCTTATAGCTATTCTTAGATATTTTTAAATGTTTAATCAATCGCTTACTTCGCACCTGCAATTGTAACATGCTGAGAGCATTACGTTAATTACTAAATACCTATCATTAAATTTCACTCTATTGCGAATATTTTTCTTAAACCTAACTTTGTATTTATATTTTCTTATGAATTTTCCAACATATGTCAAATCAAATCTTTAATCAGTTTCTTAATAAGGCAATAAATTAAAATTTAAAAAACGCGGTAGTACTCTTTGTCTGTGATTTGCCTTAGGACTTGTATTATTTAAAATATTTTGAATAATTGTTATGTTTTATCATTTGTGACAATACATTGATACTTGCCCAAAAGGTAGTTGAACAAGATCCTAAGTCACTCCTTGTCATAACTATACATGACATAGCGGTCATGTTGTTATTCCCTCAATATTCACTCAATCTACGTATTCGATAATTTTGAAGTAATGCTTTGTATAAGTAAGTCAAAGTTTAGTAGTAGTTTTACTTTTTAAAATTTTTAATATAGCAATTGTTGGTTTATGTATTAAGTCCTAATTAATTTAGTGATGCCTGACCAAAACACTATGTCAGCGTTTTGTCTATCCAAAGATTGCCTTTACGTATCGGTCATCGGTATTCGATGAAATAGTTTGAAAATAAGTATTCTGTATAAAAGGTCACGTCATCATTTTCTTGATATTTTTTTTATTTTAATTTTAATATTTTTTTTATTTCTTTTTTTTTATAATTTCATGTTTTTAATGATTTATTATATCTAATAAAAATAAATAAAACATTTCCTCAAAAAACGTATACGTGGTATGACACTGGCTTGGCGTGAACATAAAATAGCAGAATTGAGGCCCTGTTCTGACATTCTGCATATAATATGTGTAGTCTACCAGATGCACATCTCCTTGACTATACTGCCCTACAGACATTAAATTTGAATAAAGTACAGTAAGTGCATAAACACAGTTCGGATATAAACGAGTTTAAAGTTTCAAATTAAGTAAAAAGAAAACGCGTTTTGTATTATTTTTATTTTTCTAAAGCAAGAATGTGGTCTAAAATATTACCGACTACGTTTTTTTATATACTACACTACCATATTTTAAATATAAATAATATTAATTTTACAAGCATATTACTGCTAAAGACTTTTTGAAATTACCATCTAAAATACAGTAAAAAAAACATATTACTGTTTTTTTTGCAATTACAATACACACTAAAGTACAGTAATATTAAGTATTTAATGCAATTTAATTTTAAATTTATAAGGGGGAAGAATCTTGAGGAGACTAGCAGTGAACTGCAGAAAATCTCACAGTATAATATACGAGTACAGTATAAGTCAAATTTGTTTTATCTTATCCACCTAATAAAATAAAATGACAAAAAACCAAGTTGTTGCGAATTAATTAAATAATAAAATCATGTTTAAATTGGTTCTAAATATAAAAAAAAACAGAACTCAAAGAGAGAGAAAAAAAACTTGATTTTGTTTTTTATTATCGTTATTACCGGTTTGACGACCGAATGGCGTAGTGGTTTGTGTAACGGACTGCTATTCCAAAGGTCGCGGGTTCGACTCCCGCTCAAGTCAAACATTTGTGTGCATGAACATTTAATGTTTGATTTGGTCTGGGTGTTTATATGTATAATAAGTATGTATTTACAAAAAAAAAAGTATATATGTATTTATATCAGTTGTCTAGTACCCATAGTACAAGCTCTGCTTAGTTTGGGACTAGATGGCGTTGTGTGAATGTGGTACAATATTATATTATTATATTATTATTATTAATATTATACCTAATAACGTCAATTTGACACTTACTGTACTTTAATGTTTGTAGGGCAGTAGAGTGCAATACATAGGTATTGCAGTTCTTAACACGCGTTTAGAGACTTAGTTGTTCATGTGCTCTAAACTGAACGCGTAAAAGTGTATATTTTACATAAAAAGCCCAACAAAATGTATTTACATTTTCCTTTTAAATTTTGTCCCTAAATATTAGTCATCAACGAAATTTGAAAAATCGATTTTGAATTTTTATTAAAACATCAATAAAGTAAACTAAAAGCTAATGGATCTTTTTGTCTAATGAATAATTAATGCGATAAATAAGTGACATCAAGAAAAATGTTCCAAATTTTTAAGTAGGGTTCTGATTATATTCAATTCTCTCCTATGGAAATGTCTTCACAATGGAATTCATTTTGTCAATGGCTTTTGAACGAAGTATGCCCATGACTAGGATTATTTTTGTAGCTTAAAAGAGTGTATCATTTTATGCCGTATTATTTTGACCGAGATATGTCCTATCAAAAGTTTCAATTATACTCAAAAGCGTTAAATTCACTAATATAACGCATGTTGCAATACGTACTCCCGTAAATCCACACGCTTGCCCAGACGCAAGCAGTTAATCGCTCACAACGTGTTTACCTATTATTAACACTAACAAATCCGTCGTTACTACCGCCGTTTCTCAACATTTCGTGTTCAACTGCCTGTTAATAGCCACTTAGCACTTTACTTTTTAAATTCAAACAGATAACATTCTAAATTTACTTCAATTTGTTTAATCACGAATCTTATTTAGATAGCTTTAGGTTTTCTTATAATTAGACCATTACCTTATTCCGTAGTAAGGTTGTTCTGCTCAAAATAAAATACCGTGAAGACAAGAGTACTTACGATTGTTATCGTATTACACAATTATAAAAACTGTTAGCAAAGTACACAGTTGATAACTAAGACGTTGGGAAAGAAGTGACAAGGTTCACATTTGTATGTACATGACGCAAGTTCTGGGTTCTATAGACGCAAGGCTGTTCCATGGATTTGGTGGTGTTAAAAAGATTATTTTACAAATTGTACTCTTGGATACATTGCCCTTGGTGAATGAGAAGCTATGAAGATGGAGATAAAGAGCTAAAAAGGGGTATTTTTACGAGTTTAACCACAAAGCTGCTGCTAAGTTGAATACCGAAGTTTCGTGTATAACGCAAAAGGATTAGTAAATATTATTATTAGACTAAGTCTTATATTTAAGACAGACAAACGACCTGTACCGAATATTACTGAGTCAAACTAGATCTCGACAGGCAGTCACTAACTTAATAGCAAAAGAAAAGAAACAACAATTTCCCTATTTAGGATAAAGAAATTCCAATTCTGTCTTTTATTATGGCCTTCGCATTTATGAATGTGCACAGAATACTCTATTAGATAGGAATTTGATTATTATTTTAGTCACTATACCAAGTCACGTTTCACATATTATTCTGTACATGTAATGACATGCTTCAGAAAGGCCCTATGTGTTTTTAATTAATAATTAATGATGTTTAGATTGTATTTGGCGTTAACCGCAAATGTATAATACGCCGTCATCAAGTTTGTCTTTGAGAATACATCATTCTTTATTTAAATTAAAAAATCTAACACTATCGCTGCATTGCTAATTCTACACTAATTCTTGCTTTTATTTTCTCGTCCCAGTTTATAGTTACCTCCCGTTGAGCTTACAATCTGAGCACATAATATATTTTAGACGCACCATAGGAGCCGCCCAACGGGTGTGCGTCCGACACAAGAGTGGCGCCGAGACGCTATATTGGGGTCGTAGTGGACATAGCTTCATTGATACAATCCGTAACATAGATAACCATCCAAGAAAGAAATTAAATCACGTAAAAGCTTAGATACAAAGCTGTAAACAATTTCTTAGATTGTGTCGGTTCCGATATGTCTAAGTGTAATTCAGAATAAAGTATACACCAGATTACCTACGTATAATTATATAATACTAGCTTTTTATTATGTCGGTTATCGTGGTATAAAGTAGTATATGTTCTTCTTTATAGATTAAAGTATCTCCATTAAAAAAAAGGTTAGGTTTTTATTTAAATGAAACACTATACTACATTTGCTCAGAGCCTTAGCTAGCATGATTCCATGACAATCAGTCCAAGTCATGGAATTTTGTATTGGATCAAGTATTTATTAGGGATTAATATAAGCTATATTACATCACTTTATTAAACCCAGATGAAACTGCGGGGGTCTATTTCCTATGGAATACCTAATACAGGACTAATAAGGTCATGTATTAAAAAACTCATTTTGCTTTTACATGAATACCACATAAACATTTGCTGTATTTCAGAACACTAAAATAGCTATTTTTGAAATACAACTAAAGT